CTCCCGTGCACGCACATACACGCACACATACCTGTGCACACACTACCCTGCACACATACATATACACACCCGTGCTCACACACACATACATATATACCTGTGCACACATTCCCCTGCACACACACATATACACTCCCTTGTGCATGCACACACATACACACATACCTGTGCACACACTCCCCTGCACACACACGTATACACTCCCTTGTGCATGCACACACATACACACATACCTGTGCACACACTCCCCTGCACACACACGTATACACTCCCTTGTGCATGCACACACATACACACATACCTGTGCACACACTCCCCTGCACACACACGTATACACTCCCTTGTGCATGCACACACATGCACACATACCTGTGCACACACTCCCTTGCACACACACACACACTCACACCTGTGTCCACAGCTGCAATGGTTTCTCCTCCCGCTGAACTTGGAAGGAGAAGTAGCGCTGACAGGCAGCCATTGTGCTGCAGGGGACGCCCTCAACCACAGCGCACCCCAAGGGCAAGGGAGCAGGCGGGTAGTGCGGAAGGGCCGAGGGTCAGGGGTCCCCGGGGGTGGGGCGGTTGGCGCCTACAGCCAGGACTGCGGGCGGAGGCAGCATTTTGGGTGAAGCCGTGGCCCTGAGCCCTCCCCCTGCCCAGCGCCCGGGGCCTTGGGGCTGCGAAGCTGTGAGGCAGCGCCTCTCTCCACGCTGATAAAAAAGGGCATATTTAGTTGTGCTTGGCTAGACAACAATATTTGATTTTTAAAAATCCAGTTGAAATGGTAATTTTGAAAGTCATTTTATTTCCCAACTATTCTTTTTCATGGTACGCGGATAAGACCCTTGCTGGCAAGATCTATATTTTTTGGACTGTTCGTAAGATTACCTTTTTTTTCCCCTCCTGTGCTAGCAAAACGGAACCGTGTTTTTGTGTAAAATGTATTTAGCCTCGTAGCAGCTGGCATTTCTGGTGCCCTGATGGCTTTGAATTTCCTTTGGAGGGAGAGAGACCGTTCGGCTCTCTGTCTGAGGAGCTAAGTGGGAACTTTGGACGTTGCTGCCGCAGGAAACAGCGACGGTGGAACCGCTGGGTCAGAGGAGCGGTCAGCGCCGCCGCAGGCAGCCGAGGGCTCAGGTGGCTGCGGAGATGAGAGGATGAGGCGGAAGGTGTTTTGACGATCTGTGTGCCCGATGGTGGGTGCCATGTACACACTCCCCTGCACACACACATATACACTCCCCTGTGCACGCACATACATGCACACATACCTGTGCACACACTACCCTGCACACATACATATACACACCCGTGCTCACACACACATACATATATACCTGTGCACACATTCCCCTGCACACACACATATACACTCCCTTGTGCATGCACACACATACACACATACCTGTGCACACACTCCCCTGCACACACACGTATACACTCCCTTGTGCATGCACACACATGCACACATACCTGTGCACACACTCCCTTGCACACACACACACACTCACACCTGTGTCCACAGCTGCAATGGTTTCTCCTCCCGCTGAACTTGGAATTCTGCCTCTCGGGAGCCGTTTGTTGCTTTCCTGTCATTGGTGGCCTTGCCCAGTGGCCCCTGGCAAGTGTCCCTGCGTGACCGAGCCAGGGGTAATGAGTTCTGGACAGGGAGACCTGGAGGCTGGAGACGTTGGGGCGGACCCAGGGTTGTGAGGCCCAGGCCGGGCGGGGGGCCAGCTCATCCTGCCGCGGCCGCCTTGGCCCAGGCCAGCTCGCCAGCTCCTGCCTTTCCAGGAACTCCCTCCCTGCTCTCGGCTGGCACTGGCGTTGGCCAGGGCTGACCCAGCTGGGCACCTGCTCCTGGCACTGCAGGGGGCGGGTCCCTGGGGATCTGGGCTGACCGTCTGGTGCGGCCCTGCCCCCGGGGGCTCTGCTCACTTGAAGGCCGTCGCCTGGCATGTCTCCTGGTGAGCTGGCGCTCTGCTCAAATCCTCGTCCTCCGTGGGTCCCACGCAGCCTGGTCTCTGCCTCCTGGTGCCCGTGGGCACCTGGACTGAAGGAGCCAGTGGTGGCGGAGTCTCCTCAGGGGGTAGCCAGTGGCCCTCCGGACCCTGGGGCGTCTGACTGTGGGTGCTGGTGGACCAGTGCGAGGCGGAGTGTGGGGCCTCGGAGGTTGGGACTCACTCCTGTGGCCTGTGTTGTTGAGGTCTGCTCATTCACTCCCCCATTCGGCGGGCCAGCCCGGAGCCCGCGATGAGCCAGCGCTGCTTTAGCCCTGAGACCTCCTCTGGGACCGAGGCCTCCGGGACCTGCCCTCAGGGAAAAGCAGCAGCTCCCTAGAGGGTCGACGCCAGACTTCCCTGGCGCTGAGCGCTGTGAACGAAGTTGGGGGCATCGGCCTCAGACAGGGCCCTGTGAGCTGAGGCCTGTGTGAGGAGAAGAGAGACACTATCTGGCCTCTGCAGGCTCTAGAACATTCCGTGTTCAGCAGTGGCACTTGACCAATTGCGTAAAAGGTTTTTTAAAAAGCTTTGTTGATTGAAAAAATTTTTTAACAGTAAAAGAACTGCATACCCAGACCTCGCTGGAAAAGGCCCAAGCGCATTATTTGACAAGCGGCCCCGCGTGTGGGGGCGGTAGGTGGTCCTCCCCTGACCCACTGATCTGCGGGCTCGCCGGATGGCACGGATGGTGCACTCGGCCTCCGCGCCCTCCTGCTGAATTGGCCGCAACCTGAAAATAGCCCGTCTTCCTGGCCTCGCGTCTTCGGAGCCGGCCAACTGGGCAGCCTCTGGCCGCGGGCCAGCGCGTTGGCTCTGGACTTTGTGAACTTCCCCGCGTGCTGGTGAATCCTGGTCTCCCACGTGCCCTCAGGGCGTGGCCCGCAGGGGCTTGAAGGTGGCGAGAGGCTGGGGACACGGCCCGGGGGTCCTGGAGTCCCTGCCTGGAGACCTGGGCCGGGGGCTCTGCACCCTGGGCCTGTCCCTCCATGCTGGCCGGTGGGCGCCAGGACTGCCATGTCTCCGAGGGCCAGCGACGGGCCTGGCATACAGGGATCTCAGCAAGTTACTAAGATGCACGTATCTGCACAGGAAGCCACTCCTTTCTGACCGGTCTCCAAAATGGGCCTTTAAAAAAAAATTTTTTTTTTAAAATAATTTGACTGCCACCAGGAACAAAAAGATGGCAAATTGGAAGGTTTCTGTTATTGCCAGTGCCTTGTGCCCGGGTGTGAGCTCGAGGGCAGTTGCCCTGCGTCGTCCGCATGAACACTCGGACCTGCACCGCGGCGGCGCGTTCTGCCCTGGGAAGAATCACCATGTCTGTGCCCGATGGCCACCCAGCCCGTCCTAACTCCAGGG